TTTTTTTTTTTTTTTTTTTGGTTATTGTTCAAATTAAAATGCTAGATAGTGAAAGAAATAATAACGATTCTGAACATTAGATTGAACGTATCAATAGTCATCATCAAATCAAATCTTAAATATGACAGCCAAACATCTTATGGCAATCTAGCAAATAAGTGGTCATATTGTGGTGAAATGTACATATTTGACAACTCAATTAGGGTATTTTTGTCATTAACAACCAACCCCACCTAGTGGACCCCACACACAGCCACTAACCCTCGCTCACACACTCACACTTAGAATACACACACTAACTCACGCACCTGCACACATTCATACACACACATACTGAGCCTCTCGCCTTTTGCCGCCCGTGTCGTGCAGTCCACCGCGCGCCTCCGGGCACCTCTTGTCGACATCTTCTTATGCCCAGTCCCGCCATACGACTCATAACCACAAAGTTGTCGGAGTCTCGCACACCAAGGTATTAGTAAAACTCCGGCTGAAAATTAACCGGAGACAAAAAATACAAGCTATCCCGTCGTCCGCCGCAACCACCACCTGCCACCGTCTTCCATATGCACAATCCCTACTCCGACGTTCGCAGTTAATTCCCGTCTAAAAATTCTGGCGACTCTGACGCTAAGAACGACGTCCGACAAGGCTGACGTCTCAGTCTATCCTCACCGCCGTTTTCAATCGTCCGACGTCGATGAGCTGCGGGGGAGGAAATTTCGTGATTATGCATATTTAGACGATATTTCTTTTATTTTTAGTGCTTTATTTTTCGTATTTGTCGTGTCTTTGACCGGTTTTTGTTTGAGTTTTTTTGTGTGTTTGTGTCGTCTCTCCAACATGATGCTTAATGTTTGTTCGAAAGTCGAAATAGCTAAGTGGTGAGTCAAGTTTGTTGATTGATTTCATTATTAATGTTCATGCTTTATGTACCTAATGAATTGGACGGTGTCCTAAAATTGAATGATAATTCGTTGACATTGGAACCCGCATGTGAATTCACGGAATTGTTTTGTTCCTTGTTTGTTATCGATTGATTATCTTGAGACATGCTTACCTTATGTCTGATTATCGTTGTAAACATGTTATGCTATACACTTGTGTTACGTAGTGATTATGTGATAATCACATTATTGCAATTGTGATGTATCCTCGCGTGCCACTCCCTTAAAAAAAATGAAAAAATAAATATAAAAAAATGAAAATGAGAAATAAGATGTGAGTTCGCGATGAATTACAGACTACGCTCTTTTTATCCCGAGCCACTTCGTGGAATGGGGTAATGAGCCCGGGAAACCGGTCTAGGAAACCCCTCGAGGTTAAACCTAGATAATCTCGTTCGGAAACCTCGTTCGGAAAAAGAAGCTCACGAAAATGAGTTTGTGCGAGTTGAAAGGATTAGGCTCCGCTTGGCTCGGTTAGTCTTCTATATAGACCGGGTTATTGAGTACGGGAAACCGGCCTAGGAGACTCGGAGACAAACGACGAGGATAAACCTAGGTAATAATTGTCCTAACGACTCTCATTTGAAAAAAAAAGTAGTTCATTAAAAAAAAAAGAGAGAGAGAGGATAAAAATGGGAGTTAGCTTATTGTTTCATGCTTATCATACTAGTACAGATCCCGTGCGATGCACGGGGTGCACATAATTAAGGTCATTTATCAAGTCTTATAATTATATAAATGAATAAAGAAAAATGTACGGGATATTCATAGTACGTGACCTATAATAGGCCAAAATTTGAACACGGGAGATGCACAGGATGCACAATTTTAAGGTCATTTATTAGTACAAAGTCGGTGCGATGCACGGGGTGCACAATTTTCTAGTATGTGTAATACAAATACATATCGTATGCACGGGACAGAAGCACTAAATGAGTTATTTCCACAGAGCTTGCCCGTTAAGTAGCTCCTGAACACGGGTGCACAATTTGTAGTACGTACTATAAAATCAGAACAGATTTCCATACAATTAGATAATAAATAAAGCCTTTTTTATTTTAGTAAAGATTTTACTTACTTTTTTTTTTATTTATCGGATGTTATGGAATTATTTTTGTTAAACCGATTTTATGGGATATGATATAAATACAATTAGAGGATTGAACAAAATCAGAATAGATTTATATACAATTAGATAATAAGAAGGAATTAGATAAGGAAAAGAAGAAATTAGATAATGAATTTTGAATCTACCTTTTTTTTAACTATAGATAGACTTTACGTACAAATTTTGACTTTACCAATTTTATGAGATTTGTTTTGACAAAATCAAAGACGAACACTGAAGACTGTTTTTATTAACATTTACACTGTGTATTTAATGTTTTTTCTTTTTTTGGCAAAATATTCTTTTTAAGTATGATATATAAATATTCAAAATACTTAAAAATATTTTGTAACATCTATAAAAGAATCTAAAATATTCTATATTATTCACAAATAATGTTTGAAGCTACCTAAATTTTTCTAAACTACCCGTAAGGAAAATATGTATAAAAATTATTTATTTAACCTCCATATATGTATATATATAGAGAGAGCAAATGTGTAAAAAAATTTATACAAATAATATATAAAAGTATCTAAAATATTAGTAATTAGATAGGTGAAATTTAGAATTGTAAAAAATCTATATAGATAATGGATTTATAGAAGTAATTAGACTTTTATTTATTTACCTTTAAAGTTGTTACGATAGAGGGATGTGATTTTTTTGACTCGTGGAGATGGAATTTTATAAGCTGGGTTATGAAATTTTTCTTAAACTCATCTATATCTATGCGATGAGTTTTTTAAGTTGGGTATATAGATTT